TGTCGGAAGGATTCGGAAAGGAGAGAAATTCGAGCGGATATAGTTCGCCTCAGACAACAGTGGACCCATAAACACGATCGAGTTCTGGCTCGAGTAAGTACTAGTATAAGTTTCTCTGATTCCCTATATTTCATTCTTTTCAGTTGAGTGAACAGATATCCCGAGGTGGAGTGTGGTCAAAGGTGCAACAGTTGAGAACTATTCATGCAGCTTTGGTAGCTTAAATTCCTTCTATATGATTTTCCCTTAGGTTCATTCAATTTTGAGCTCCTTAGCCCAAGCTATTGTACTGATTCGTGTATACCTCACTTGCAGACAATTTATTCTTCCAAAAAGCATTATAGATGCGTTTTTATGTAGATAGTTCACTTTCTCTTCACCGGCGACAGATTTACTTGTTGATCTAATCAACTGGTCTTGCATTTAATGCACATATATCTCTGGTAGTTATTGTACAATTTATCTTATGATTATAAAAAAGATAATGATTGATTTTGCTTTATCATTGTAAAATATCATGATAAGTGATGTAGGTGAATAAATGCTTTACTTTGGAAAAATGAACAATGTGTGAAGAAAGTTTGCTGTCGACAGCTGGTTGCTCTGAACCTGACGTATCAGATGTATGGGCTTCTCGTAAAACTTCATTTATCTCGCAATTAAAAACCGAAATAAATCGAAGAAGGTTTATTTCAAAGTGATTACGTTATGCTTGTTCGTTTTAAATAGGATGGGGTCAAGATGGTTTCACAGGTAATCGTGCAGACGGTTTGGATTTGACCTTGGTGGGGAGCACCTGAGATTTCATGTTCTGGATATTAGCCTCTTTGCTAGTCATTTTCTCTTTAGGCTTGACTTCCTGTTCTTTAGTTTTTTCTTTAGTTATTTTGATTGTATTCTTCTCCTTAGCCGTTTTATCGTCATACAACCTCTTTTTGGAGGTACTGCCGTCTTTTTTTCCTTCTGGTTCTTTTGAGGAGACTTTTTTCGGTTTAACTTCTTGTATCTCTTTCGATTTCCGCTGTTCTTTGTCTGGCTTTTCTTTCGAGTCAATGCCTTGCGATACTATATTTTCCTTTGATTTTCCTCTGTTTTCATTTTCCACTGTTTCCTTTTCTTTTGACTTATCTGCTTTCTTCTCCACCTTTTCTTTCGAGTCCTGACTTTTGTTTTCTACCCTTTCCCCTTTTTCTTTAGAAGGTGAAGTTTTTCCCTGATTTTTCTCCTTTTCAGCCACATTTGTTTTTCCTTCAATTTCTTTCGATTTCTTTTCGTCTGGAACTTTCCCTACTTCCGCCGAGGGTGCCTTCGTTTCCTCTTTTTCCTTGGATTTTTTCTCTTCCAATTTTGCTTGTTCTTTAGAAACCACAGGTTTGGCTTCCTTCTTCTCTT